TAATTAATCTTCCTAATAGCTTAAAAAATTATACAAGTGACAAGGACATCCCCATATTAATAGCAAGCAGATTTTACCATTTTCCATCATGTTCAAAATATATTTTACTTCATTCATTAGAGTTTTCTGGAACAAAAAAATTATTTTACTTACCAAAAACTTAATAAGTTGCATAATCTAAGTCATTATTTCCTTTAACAATTTAAATAAAATCTATTAATCCTCCATTTTAAAATTTACATTTCTTCTTGGGAACCATCCATAGTCCTCCCAATTATTGTATTTGTAAGAGCAAGCATGCCATATTAACTGTTAATATAAATCTAATATTTTAAATGAATTTTATTTTTGTATAGATAGTCTCTCTTAAATAAATAATCTACTTTAATAATAAACCTTAAAAATAAAAATCAAAAAGAAATACTAAACCAATTATATTAAGATTCATACTCAAAGAATTCTTTTATTACAAATTTTTTTCTATATTTTAAAAAAATTTTATCTATTAAAGAGTGAATTACAATTACTCTTAAGAGTAATTGTATTTCACTCTTTAATAGATAAAATTTCAAATAAAATATTTTTTTGAGACCCATTTAATTAAATTATACATTTATTAACAATCGCTTTAATTGATGAATCTAGCTCACAATAATTTAAAATCACTAACATTTCATATATTATGGCATTTTCTTAATACTTATTTTGTAATTCTATCAAGTGTTTTTAAATTAAATATAAATATCTAAAACAAAAAAAAATATCATTAGATATGAATCCAGACTATTCAAGAATAAAATTCACATTTCCATCTTTGGAAAAATTTATAATAATGGTATTATTAGAATGAGTCTTAGGATTTTAACAAGAAAATAGCACTGGAGGACTTAAAATTTACTTTTACAAATGTTTTGAAAATTGATTTATTCGGTTAAAAAGTTCATTTTTCAGTCTCCAAAGGTCTGAATTTTCTCTAGTTAAATTCATAACAATCACTCTATGGGCAATAAATTTAAGATCTTTTTAAAACTGATAAGAATTACATCGAAATTGTAGTAAAGTTTTTACAAGAAGGAGCATGAGAAATTATTATTTTTCAAGTCTTTTTTGTTAATTAAATTTTCTAAAAAATAAAATTAAGATGTTTTTTTGATATTTGACAAATTCATTTGTTCCTTTCATATTAAAACGAAATCGAATAGATTTTATTCTAAACAATTAGCATAGAAATCTAAATAATTCAAACTTTAATGAATTTTTGGGTAATCCTTAATAAAATTTGAAATAGAATTATAAAAAATAAGTTTTGGTCAGTTTGGTTCTTCTTCTTTGATCTTTAATATTTAAAGATATAATCAACTGTTAATATTTATATTAATTTTTCCAAATCTTTTAAGGCTTTTATAAATGATAATATAATATTCAAATTCTTTTAAAATCTAGTTTAACTCCTTCTGATCCCAGATACTGATTTTTGATTAATGCATTTAAACTTATAATGTGAATTGAGATTGTTACAATCAACAAAATATTAATAATTTGAATAAGTTAGGACTCTAAAGTTTGGAAAAAACATCTTCAAGGTTAATTAGTTAGATTCTCCATGTACTTCTAATTATTTTCATAAAAATATTTGTTGTTATCTCTTATTTAAAAAAAACAAAATTGATTATTATAAACTAAAATATTATATGTATAATTAATTTTATTATGAGAATAATATTTGAACTAAATCAATTTTTTGTTACTATATTTTTTAATGTTTAACACAAAAATGATTGAAAATGAAAAAGATTTTAATTGCAAGAATAAACATTACCAACCAATTCTTTTAGTTGACTTAAATCCAAATTTAGATAAGAAATAAAGATTTTTATGTAATGTATGCATGGAAGACTTAGAATCTGAGGTAAAGACAATTGGATTAATAAAAATGATTTAGATTATTTCCGATAAATAAGAGAGTAAATAAAGAAATTTAACAAATATAACAGAGTAAATAATTTTTTAGTTACAAAAATGTAGCATAAGATTGGAGTGATGATTTATTGGTCTAAAGAAAATCAAGCTGTGAATACAGTTTTTATGATGAATTAGATAATTTTATTAAGAATTTTAATATTGATGATGCTTCAATAAAACTAATAAATAATATTAATAGATCTTGGATGACAAAGCTATTGAATAATTTACATTCAAATAATGAAGATAAAGATAAACTAAAATTTAATGAATTAAAATAACAATTCACCAACATCATTAATAAAAAGTATTTTTAAGAAGATGAAATATAATTAAAATTAATTGATTAATCTGTTAAATAAATTTATCAATGTAATGCAATAGTTTTTGATTCTATTTGATCAATTATGATATCAACTTAAGAGAATAATATAAAAGTATGGAATTTTACTAATGGAAAAATTAATTTAATAACAACTTTGTAGGGACATACTGATAATGTTTCATGTTTAATTTATAGTAAAAAAATAAATTCTTTTATTTCTGGTGATAAAACAATGAGATGTTGGAAAAAAGAGAAGCAAAATGAATGGAAAAGTTCAAAACCTTATTTATAACATACAAATATTATCATATGTTTTATATTGAACTACTCTTTTCTGGAAGTAGAGATAAATCAATTAAAGTATGGAAAGTTAATTTTAATAAAAATGAATTAACTAATCTATATTCATTGTAGAAACATAATAATTGTGTTACAGGAATAAGTTTAAATTAATCAGAAATTTTATTAGTATCTTGTGCAGATGATAAGAATTAAATTATTATTTGAGAAAGAAGACAATAAGATAAGTTTGAATTCAAATCTTTTGTTAAATAGTCAATCGAAACAGAAGGATAAAAAGTAAATTTTGTTAGAGAGAATTAATTTATTTGGGTTAGTGCTATTAAAGAAATAGATAAATTATATGTATTTGAATTAAAAGAAGGCTACTTTTAAGAAAATTAGAAGAAAACACTTCAATTAATTACAAATAATTAAAAATTTGATGATTATCGATTTCCAATTATTTTTAATACAGTAAGGAATTTTATCTTAAAACATACATTTATTTGATTGAATTCAATTGTGATTTCCAATAAATATAAATCTTAAAAAACAGATTCGAAAGAAATAGCTTGTTAAAATATATAACTATTAAAAACAAGAAGCCCAGACCATAAACCAGAGTTTATTAAAACAACTTTAAAGTGGAGGAGTTAAGATACTTTGTAAATATTGTAAATTATATATAATCTATTAAATAATTTAGTAGACGAGAATATTAATCAAAAATTAAATTTCTACCTGATCTTTTTTTTCAGGATCATAATATCCAAATTAAAAAATATTGAACTTTTATCTATGTTAAGAAATAATACTCAATTTTCAACTTGATTTGATCAATGCTTTAAAATTATACTCCAAAGATTATTGTTATCTGATATTAATTTGATTATAATCAGATCATCTCTCCAATAGATAGAAAAAATTTAATAACACCCATCTTAATATTTTAATAATTTTTATTAATATAATTAAATAATTATTTTCCTTACATAAAGTAAAATATGATTAAATTCAATAATTTAATTATCATAATTATTTTGAATATCTTTCTTCATCTCATAATAGATGTCTTCTCATCTAATACCAATCTTATTAATATTCATCAATATAAATGATTCAATTCAATATGAGAGAAGTTAAATATTTTATTTATATAAAGTTAAAGTTCATACAAGGACATTTATTTTTTTGAAGTGAGTTCTCTAAATACCAATTTTTAATGCAAACTCTAGTTTCTATAATACTCGTATATTAGGCAATAATAAAAAGATATTTTAATTTTTAAGTAATTTTGATAATATTATCTTTTTTCAATACATTATGAGAGACAAAAATTTATTAAATTCTGAAATTTAATTGAATAATATATAGGAATATTTTTGAAGTTAAATATTTAAAGAGAATATTGATAATTGAAATAAAATATAATTGATAATGATTAATAATTATATTAAATTTCATTCATCTATTTGTTTATTGAAGCTTAATAAATTTTATAATTTATATTGATTCTATGTAGATTGGAAATAATTATTTAATAAATGCATATTTTTGATATAATCATAAATGAAATAACAATAAGCCTGTAAATTTAATAAATATTTCTATCGAGAATTGTTTCCTAATAGATATTTGGAATTATGTCGAGCAATAGCTATCAATCATGATAATAGTATTATGGTTGCAGCATGTGAATCTAATATAAAAGTATTTTAGATAATTTTACCACTCATTTCTTCATCAGAAGCTTATCCAACAATAAGAATAACAGCATCTATTAGATTAATTTAGCTACTAAAAGATAAACATTCAGATTTTGTGTCTACTTTAAATTTTTTCAAAAAATCTACCTCAATGATAAATTCATTTATTTCAGGTTCAGATGATAATACAATTATTATTTGGTCACCTATTAATACTTCATAATTTATTATACCAACACAATGGATTGCTTAATTTAAATTAAGAGAACATACAAATTGTATTTCCTGTTTAATTTTACTTACTCCTACAGAAGATCTTATTATAAGTGGGTCTTATGATAAAACAATTAAATTTTGGACAAAAAGCTAAACTTAACAATCTCTTATATGGACATGTTCATAGACAATTAATGAACATTCTTCTACAGTATTTGGATTATCAATTAATTAAGAAGGTACTAAATTACTATCTTGTGCTAGTGATTTTTTAATATTAATCATTGAAGGTTCTACTTAATCTTAATGGAATATAAAATAAAAGATTTAAGTCGATTAATGGGGATATAGAATAAGTTTTATAAATAATCATATTTTTACATTTTAACCAATAGAAACAGCTTTTTAATTGTAAGGATCATCTCATATTCATATTTATGTATACAATTCACAAAAAAATTTGTATTTAAAATAAAAAACTATTTTAGTTTAAGGTGGTAATTAAGCTTGTAGACCTTATTTTCCTTAAGTATATTCTACTTAAGCTAATCTACTTTTAACTAAAAATGGTTGTTTTGTAAACTTAATTAAATTCATATTCTCTAAAATAAATTCTGATTTTCAATGTTATTTAGAATAAGCAATAGATTATGGTACTATGAACCTTTATGGTACAATGAGTGATGATGGAGAATTTTTAATAACATGGGATTAAAAATAAAATAATATCTAAATTTTAGTTTAAGGAGAAGATAAAGAAATTTGATATTTTATATTATTTATTCTAAAACATTTAAAAAATCATAATTCATTTTTTTATTTTGAATAATGGAATTTTCATATTTTTAATTACTTAAGTTTAAAAGAATAATTTATAAATTTTTAACTTTGCAATTTTACCACCTAAATCTGATTCCTTATTTTTAAATATTTGATTATTTAAGCTTGTTCATACTTGCTTCTTTTTCTATCATGAATATTTCATTTATTTATATTATTTATTTATAATTATCATTAAATCTATTCAAAATTAAATATAGGTAATAATTCATTAAATAACAAGCTCATTAATAATAAATTGTCTAAATTTCTTATTTCAGCTTAATTTAGCCTTCTTTATCGCTTAATAATTCATAATACGAAATATGTTAAATTATTATGAATAATTTGAATATAAACTTAGATTTTATATATTTTTAGATTTATATATTTCGTAAAGCTTATCATATTAGAAAAGAATAATCTAAATTAGAATAAAAATATAGTATGTAATTTTTAAATATTCTTGTATTAATCAAATGATGATGATCGAAAATCTTTCGATGGCATATTAATATGAAAATTTTCAAAATTCTTGAATCATAATTTAATCTTATGGATTTTTTACTTCTTACCACTTTTCTTGTTAATTAAATAATTTTATTATAACTTAATATTTAAATAATATTACAAAAACAATAATATATATATATTTTAAATTTAATAGAATTAGAATAATAATTAATATAGAATTTAGATGGATAAAGAAGTAGATACTAAAAATTCATTAAATGAGTTTATTAAGCCATGATAAAATTATTTTAATGGTCTTCATCTTAATTTTTAAGGTGGCACATTAATATTATTAGGGAAAACAAGAATAAGGAAATCGACTATATTTCATATTTTAAGAGGCGATGAATAAAGTTAGAATGAAGATGGATAATTATATATAGAATTAGAAAGTGGAGTAAAGACATTAATTGGATTAGAAGGAGAATCCTGTACTCATACTCCTAATGTTTATAATTACGAATACAAAAATTAAAATTAATAAGGTGAATGCATAGATATTATTGATACTCCTGGATTTGATGATAATTTTTCTCAGATAGAAGATATTATTTCTTAAATTTAATTATTAGAAATCTTAAGAAATTATAAAAAGTTATTTTAGCTATTGTTGCAAGGTTTGATCAAGATAATAAAGAATATTATAGAAAACTTGATTATTCGATTAAAATTTATTTCAAAGTAATTTAGATTTAAATATTATGCTTAAGAATAAGAATATTAGTTTTATAATAAAAATAGAAAAGAATTTTATTAAATAATAAAACATACTAGTGGAATAGAAAAATAGAAAGCAGGAATGATAGTAAATATATTAAATGTTGAACACAACTAATCTATTACGGATTATAAATAAATAAACTCAGAATGTGTTAATTAATTATGTTTAATATCTCAAATATTAGATAAAGATTCAAAAAGATAATGGTAATATTAAAATTAAATTGATTTAAATGATATAGGATAAGATGGTTTTGAAGGAATAGAAATACCAGATTTATCAGCAACAACATAAGAAAAATTTAGGGAGTAAAGAAAATGAATAATTTAAATACAAATGGCCACTTCGTGGAGATAAATATGAATATTATAATAAAACAATATCTTATGATTGAACTCATTTATAAATAATAAGAGAATTATGGGAATAAAATAATAGATAAGATTTTTCTTTTATGAATATTTAAGAATTAAATAAATACAGATTTACAATGTAAATGAGATTAATACCTATAAGTAAAATAAGTCCAAATATTCCAAATAAAGAATAGATTAGACCTATAGTAGTTATGTCTCATGTTATAAAAATGATTGAGCTTTTCTAGGAAGAAAGGCTTAAAGGATATGAAAATTACTATATAAATCCTGAATAAATTGGATTTTTACAAGGTATGGGTACTTAAATTCATTTTTAAGAAGTAAAAAGATTCCTATAAAGAAAATAAGTAAAAGGTAAAACTCTATCAAATGCTTACCGATGATGTTGTATTTTTGAATAACTCATGGGCCTCAAGTAATGCTTTTAAAGTTTTCCATGATAAGAATTTAATTTTAAAATTAATTTAAAGAAAACAAATTTTCTATCATAGACAAAAAATTAAGACTTAACTAAATTGGGTTGCAATTGGGTTTAATCTTATAAATACTTAGTTGTTTGGTTAAATGTTAGAGGAAGTCTTAAACCTTATTATAATATAATGAAAAAAATAGTAAAAAAGAATAGTTGGAGGGCAAAATTTTTATCAAAATTATTACCTGCTAGACATATCTTTAAGTTATGGTAATTCTATGTAAAACCTTATTTTGATTATATATCCTCAGCTTTGTGGTTATAAAAATAGACAATAATTGAATAGCATAAAGCTTTATGGAGATCTTGTATTAATTTCTTTATAAATAAGAAGAAAAGAATCTAATTAAATGGGTTGAATAAACAAAAAGAGATGAATAAAAATTTAAATTAAGAAATTAAATGGATTAATAAGTAATTAATTTTTAAAATATTCCAATTACAAATGATATTGAAAATAAAAAATAAAATATATAAGATGATTAAAATAGAATTTACAAAATGTAAGATGGTAAGTTTTAGCAAATAGATATAACTATAGAAATTTATATAATGGAATTCTAATATTGTTAGAAAAATCCCAAATTAAGGTTTCTTTGATTTATTTAAATATGATTCAATGCTTTGTAAAGAATGTAAAACACCACTAGATTTAAAACATGCAGATTTACATTTCAAAACCAATTTTGAATATTATAGAAGAAAAATATATGTCTATAACATTGATAATAATAGAAAATTTGATAAAGGTGACTAAAAATACTTTAATGACCTTGCAAATACAAATTCCAATCATTGAATAAATTTGCCCAATAGATTTGTATGAAAAGAACCTTTAAGAAAAAACAAAATGAGATAGAAAAATGATTTTGAATTATCCAAATTATTATTATTAGTTTTATAGTTAATAGAATAAAATCTCATAAATAGTTGCAAATTTTAGAAGAATCACTCTAAAAAGAACAATAAAACCCAAAGTCTTAACTAGACAAAAATTTTTGAAAGTAATTACCTAATCATTATTTTATTTAGAGGATAAAAAATGAAGGAAAAATTTTAATTTAAAATATATTAACAGAAATTAGAATTCTTTTTGAAATTGAAATCCCAAATTAGAATAAATTACCAATATTTATTGGAAATCCACAATCGCGTAAGAGTACTTCCATTAATTTATTATATAAAGTAAATAATATAAAAATGCATTTTACAGAACCTTTAATAATGAGAATACATTATTAAAAATATAAAGTGATAAAATTATAGAATTAGGAAAATATGATCAAGATCGAATTATAGAATTTTAAGAATTTTCAGAAAATTATGTTTTATAAGAAATAATCAATAATTTAAATTAGATACTAATAAAGATTGTCAAAAAATAACATTTATAAATGAAGAATATTCAATAACATAAAAAGAAATGAAACCTTTTATAATCTAAGAGCAATATGATTAAGATGCTAATTTATAAATTGCAATTTTTCAATAATTTGATAATTATCTTTCATAATTGAAAAATTTTAAAGTAATTTTTGTTAATTGATTGATAACCATAATTATTTCCCAGATAGAGAGTAAAAATAAGATTTTTAATTTCTTATGGAATTAATTAAATTGAATCCACCATTAATTAAATAAGAATTTAAATAACAAATAGACAATTTATAATTTTTAGTTTAAAATCATCAGATATTTCCTAATAATAACATTTTTAGGTTCTATTTTAATTAAGGTAATCATTTATGTCTTAAAAATTTAATTAAGAATTTAATAACAAATTACAATATATAAACAAAAATAGAGAATATTTAAAAAAATTGCCGAGAACTGTTAGTAAAAATCCAAAAGATTCTTCATTAAATTAAGAATTTACATAAATTTATGTTATCAATTTTCTTTTAGATGCTAATGTTAATTTCTAGATTAAAATGATATATCAATATTGAATTTTCTGTAAGTAGCTTATGAATTATTTATGGATCAGATGAAAATTAACGAAATCATATAATCTTGGAATTTTAATATATTAAAAATAAAAAAATTAAACTAATAGCCTTAATCTTAATACTTTTAAGTTATAAAACACATGTTTACTTATTAATCAGAATTACTTAAAGCAAAATAATAAATGAAGAACTTTTTAAAAATTATTACTTAAACTTAAGAAAATGGATATGAGTAATTAGAATATGCTTTCCCTTTAAATGTTTTTTATAGATTGTATTCAGTGTTTTAAGATAATATAGAAGATTGAGAGTTTAGGGAAAATATGAAGTAAACTCTTAATAATATCAGAAAAACTATAAATTATATGAATTTGAATCTTTTTGAATCTCATGAAATTGTGAATGATTTTATTAATAAATCTTTTTTTGAAAAGATCATTTTATATAAAAAGCTTCTCAGTTTTAAATGAGTAAAAAATAAGATTTTTTAAGTCCTGATAAAGTAGACTCTCAAATAAACACTTTCAACATTAATAAGTAAAATTTCAATAATTACAGCCTATGATGGAGAAAAAAGCACAATAATAAGAAGGTCAATAAGAATGATGTCCTTTAAACAGTAAAATAAATTTATAAAACCATTCAATTAAAAAAGATTCACAATCATAAACATAAATTCCTTAAAAAAAAAAGACAATCAGAACTATCAAGATTTTTTTTTTTTAAATTGCCTTTGATGGTCATTAATGAATGAATATTATTAATTATTAGGTTCAGCATATATTTGATTCTAAATATAATTGAGTTATTTGATGTTATTTAAGAATTTTTGGAATCTTTTCTAAATATTCTTAAATTTATTTCAGTTCATTCATCATTTAACCTTAATCTTGTCTTCCTGATAATTAATCATATTCAAGAATTAGATTAATACTTAAAAATATGGCCTGATGATGTTAAATATCATTCTTTATTTTATTCATAACATAATTTTCAATATCCCTATATTCTTTATTATCCTTATCTTATTAAATATAGATTATTCAATTATGATATTATTTATTTTACTTTCACTTTTCAATATTTTTCTGAACAAATCTCTGAAATAAAATATTATATAGATTTAATTAATAATTATTCAATTTAAGAAACAATAATATTGCCAGACACAATATTAATCATAATGATCATCATTAAGATAAATATTATCGAAAAATAGGTTTAATATCTTTTGAGGAAATCATGTTTTCATAAATCAAGTTAAGAGGTATTTAAAGAATAAGAAGAGATGAAAATTGTAATTTTACTACTTTTGTTTATTAATTTCTATTAATAGTACTAAAAAAAGTTTGTAGAATTACAATTTCAATAGTTTTAGAGAATTTTATAAACATTTAATTTGACCTTGTTCGGCGATTTAAAACAAATTATGTTAACTTTTTTATATAAATCCTAAAAATCCTTAAAAATAAATTTCCATAAAAATTATAATTATTTAAAGATTTTATCGATATATATCAGCTATCTTTGATTATTTAAAAAAGACTAATTAACAACAAATAATTAAGATATCGATATATTAGTAATATATTAATTGTTCAATTAAAACTCATTTTTTAGAATAATATAATTGTATTAATCTTATAAGAACTTTTAACAAAAGCAATGTATATATTTTACTGATAGAAAGATGAAGTTCATTTTAAAGAGATTCTAAATTTTAAACCTTAAAATGAAGCGAATTATAGTGAATTGAATATTATATTTTACAAGATGATCCATTTTAATAACAGATCAGATCAAAATAAATAAATTTTTTTATAATATCGTCTATACTAATAAGATATAGTCAATTCTTTTTTCTGTGATTCATTTCTTATTAACATAAACATAAAAATCAAGAAGAAATGTTTGAGGAAGTAAATCTTAATTAAAAATGTTTCAAAAACAAACTTAGATTCCATCAGATAAGAAAATAAACATTTAAAATCAATATCTCAAAGATTATTCCTGAAAAATCATAATTTTCTTAAATGCCTAAATTTTAGGTTTTAAGAAAATATTAAGAGTCAAAAGCTAAAGTGGAAATGTTATAAAAAACTATCCAAAAATTTAAAATTTGAATATTAAAAATTTTATTTAAAATTGAATAAACAATTTTCTATAGATTTATATTTGAAACAAATATGATAGTGTTTTCATTTTTAAGAGGATGTAGAACTAGAAAGTTTGAAATGCTGAGAAGATTTGAAAAATTTAAATTAGAAAAAAATTGAAATTTAATAAAAAAATATGGTGCTTTTATTAAAGCGCTTTTTAATTTAATTATAATTACAAATAAAAGAATTTTCTTCCACAAACCGAATGTACCAAAATTTTCCAATAAAATAAATTTAATTATTTTGAGAACTTTTTTATAAAAAAATATAATTAATAATAATTAACAATAGAATTAATAATAATTTATAATTTAAATTTATCACATAACAGCTTCAAAAATTAAGTGAGTAGCCTTTTTGAAAACAGAATTTCTTTTTCTCTTTTTAAGGCATCTTTTTTTAATTAATTAATAAATCATTATAATCTATTTAATGAAAATTCCAAGTAAACTGGAAATCAACAAATAAATTTATGCAAAACCTAAAAGGATTTTATTTTCTTCACTAATTAAATATCTGTAATCTTATAGATGAAATATAGAGGAAAACATAAATGAAAGTATTGAAATTTCTAAAATAACGAGTTATATTTTATCTAATTTTTGTAAATTAAATTCTATAAAAATTAGTGCTATCAAATAAATCATATTTGTTGTTGTTAACAATAATAATTATATCACTTAATTACTTTGATAACAAATTAAGAAATAGCAAAATAAAAACTATTTAAGTAAATAAACAGCCTTATATTTATAATTTATTTTATATTCTTTTTTTGAATAGAAACGCTTAATAGAATAAGTTATAAATGTAGCTGAGGCAGCCAGAATAATATAAGACAATGCTATTTAAATTAGTGAAATTACATCTTAATATTAGGAAGATTCTAATTATAAAAACGCTTTAAATAATAAATCCCAGGCATTGGCCAATAGTAAATCTATTAAACCATTTTGATAAAATTCATAGATAAAAACCTAAATCTGATGAAAAAAATTATAAATCCAATTGAGTACGAGTATAAGTTATTTAGATTTGAAACTTCTGAGTTTTAAAACTAATAAATGTTAAGTTTATATTTTATAAATTATTTTAAAGCTAATGTAAGTAACAGTTTTTAATATAACTACAAATAAAATAGTTGATATAACTTAAATGAAAAAAAATTCTAAATTAGTTATTAAATGAGCATTTAGATTGTAAAATTTTAATTTAGCATAAGACTCAATAAAGTCTTAAAACAAAAATTATGAATAAAGATGATCAATGTTAAAATAATGAAAAATTGGAAGTATGCTTATTAAAGTAGTGGATTCAAAAAAAATGTAAAGATTTTCTGGATAAATGATATTGATATATTTAAAATATGATTGGTATTAGAGGTTATCTAAAATTTCAACAAAGATTTGAAAATTGCCAGAGATTAAAACAAAAACTCCAGCAATTCCTTAAGTTATAATCATAATTTCTTATGATTAAGTGAGTTATATTGTTTTTTGTATATCAGATTAACTCATAGAGAGAGATTACTTTAGAAATATTTATTGTGATGGATTGAGTAATTCTATATCCTCTTAATTAAATGCTTAATTATTAAGTTGAATATTAAGATTAATAAGGCTACTATTAGTAGAATTAAAGAACTAAATTTCAATTGAAAATACAAAGTGTAGAATTGAATTGATTAGTGGTTAATAGTTGGATTATAATTTGATTGAATAATCAGTAATAGATAATTGATCGATGCTAAAATTAAAAAGAGTTTACAATAGATAATTCTCATTAAAATATATGGCTTAAGAGAATGTTATTTCAAGATAGTACTTATTATAAGTTTAGTTTAAAAATGTGATTATCATGTAAGGAGATGGAGAATATTAACAATCAGAATAACTAAAAGAGATTTCTTAACACTTATATTAAAGTTCAATTTGACAGGTAGAAGAACAACCATCAAGTTCAATGATATTACCATCATCACACTCTTCATTATAAGCCTTTATTCCACTACCACAACCATCATAACATGTATTATCAATCAATTAAAAGTATGACTAACATTCATAACAAATTCCTTCAAAACAATTTTAACAGTAAAGAGGACAAGAATATTCACATTTATAGCATCCATCAAATTAAATACTATTACCATCATCACATTATTCTTTTTATTATTATATACCATCTCCACATATTGAATAACAAATCCCATCAATATTTAATTCTCCATTTAGACAATTATCATAACAAATACCTTCAATACATTTCTTACATCCTGTTAAACAAGATTATTAACATTTATTATTTATCATTATATATTATTCATTGCATATCAAACATTCTTATGACTTTATGCAAAATTTACAATTTTCAGGACATATCAATCTACAATTTAAACAATCATTTTAATTTGAATCACATTCTTCTTAAGAATATAGAGCAACTTAATTATCTCCACATTTTTCAATGCAAATTCCATTCATAAGAGACCAACCCTAAATACAAAAAAGACAATAAGAATTATCTAAACATTACAGGCATTGAATCTAACAACTATTACCACATTTATAACATCCTATCTCAATATAACTTTCATGAATTCCATCTTCAAATAAAAGTACACCTTTTGTGATTTAAGAAAAGCATTCATTTTTTAAAAGAAAGTGATCAGCTTTACATTTCTTACATTATCCAAAATAACATGTTTCGCAAAATAAGCTACATGATAATTATTAAATTTCAATTTGATAATTAATTTTTTATATCCCAATATCACAAAGATCATGTTAATAGTTATCAAAATCACTACTTTTAAAAGTATATTATAAAATAAAATTTTTATTCAAGTAATCATCTGATGTATCACAAATAACTGATTCAAATTGTGTTTTTTTATCTAAACATTGATAGTTAATCAATTCATAATTTGGTATACAATTTTAACAAACTCCAAAATTACATAACAAACAATTAATAATACATTAAAAAGTGCAATTATAGCAACCATCGTTAGGGAAATTATTTCCATCATCACATTGTTCATTTTATTGAACTTTAGCATCTCCACAGATTGGTAATTAATAATTTGATAATTAATTAATATGAAGTTAGACTTCATTTAAAGAGTCAATAGGTAAATTATAATAATTTTAAATACAAATTCCATTTAAATATTAATAATCTGAAGTACAAGTTTAGCATTTGCCAAATAAACAATTTATACATTATAAAGGGCAAGAAAAGTAACACTTATGACATCCATCATAGGGAATATCATTTCCATCATCACATTATTCATTACCTGTAATAAATTAATCACCACATTATGGTTGACAATCTTTATTTTCTAGATTAAAATTCCATTTAGAATCACACATTAAACATTCTGCTTTAATACAAAATTAACATCCCTCCACACATGATTCTTAATTATTAAAACAACCATCAAAAGGTATCAAATTATCATCAAAGCAGGAATGTAAATTTATTGGTCCTTGAAGTATTATTTATAATTCACGAATACATACTTAGCCATCTACACTATATATCTCTAATTTAATAGAATTTTTATTATCTTCAATCTATGGAGTTCTATAATCAACATACGTGTTTTAACTTACAAGCCCATATTTATATTCATCATTTATATATACTCTTACACGTAATGGTACAACTGAAAGATTTTCAATTCTAAATTGGATTATCAATGTTCTATGATCTGGTATTGTAAGATATTTTATGGCTGAATCCCATTAATTTAAGATAATCATTTTATATTAAACTATTAATTATATAAATATTTACAATCATTTGTTGAATAGGTAAATTAACCAAATCTATTGTTTTTAATCCATCCTTCCAAACCATTATCAAGATTTTATTAGTCAAAATAAGATTTCCATAATATCCACTAGATACAATCATTAGTTGAATCTAAACAAAATTGACATCCTAAGTAACATTCATATAATGTTATCCTAATATCAGTTATACCCCAAAAGTTCTAAAAACTCTCTAATATAAATAAATACTGTGTTATCACAATCTGCAATAAATTCAACAATTATTGAATTCAATGTATGCTAATTATAATTATTGTAGAAGCTTGTACTATAATCTGTACCAGAACCACCACATATATTTGTTCCTCCTGTATTGTCTAAAAAATACCAAGAATGAGTATATTAATCTATGCTTATATTAAAATATTGATTGCTTGGCCAATTATCAATCCTTATTATATTGTAATATTTAACTTCCAAAAGTAAATATCTATGAGCACTTAATAATGAGGAGGCAGACTAAAATATTTCATTATTGAAGTTTTTGTTGATGAAAAGCATCCAAATATCTGATATCCCCCAAACATTATTGTTCCTCCACAAATAAATGTATGAACAGAGACTCCATTATAGGGATTTTTTATTAACCACCCTAAATCATAGAATTATATATACCTTCGTCACCAGAAATTGAAGAAGTAATAAAATGCTGCAAATAATATGCTTCAACAATTATTACTAAAAACTGAAAATGATGGAACCAAACAAACATTAAATAATTATTAATAAGATAAAAACAGGAAATAAGTTTGATATCATTGATTTAATATGACAAAACAAACTGAATCATCTAAATTTCCTTGGGTTTAAAAATTAACCATAAGTATTAACATTGTTATTAATGATTTTATATCTAAAGTAAAATTTCTATTGCTGTAGCAGAATTCTAAGTTAAACTTTCTTAATGCCATACACAATATTTTAATTTATTTATTTATATTATATTTCATTTATAATATTCCATTTAATTTTTAATGATTGTTTCAAAAGAAATCAATATCTTTCTTTTTCTCTAAAATAAATCAAAATTTATTAAAATATATTAATCAGCAATAGAAGAAATATTCAAAAAAATCATCAGAAGATTAAATATGTCTGTAGGTTTGTTTAGATCATATTTATATCATTTAAGCCAAATTTAATGAAAAAGCTTTAAAAAAAAATATAATGTATCTAATGCGAATATAATTTAAAAATTTTGTTAGCAAATTAATTATTTCTTAAAATATTTAATAATATATTTTTTGTGAGAAAATAAAACATATTAAATAACTTACTATCTTATCAATTATATTTAAAACAATTATGTAAAATAAAATCATTAATCAACAGTATCAGCTTCAAGATTGCTGAAAACTTGATTTCGTACTATCAGAAAAAATATAAAGGATTGGAAATTCTGGATATATTTTAAGTGATTGAGGTATATTCAACATCAACTTTATAATTCAGCATTTTGATTCTAATATGTATCATAATGATAGGTACATATATTAAATTGAATCAAATAAGAAACTAAGGAGATTAAACTTCCAATTAGATTAGATTGAAATCAAATTGATTTCATTCAAATTATGAAAAGAACATTATCACAATATTATTTTTAAAATGAGTTTATTTTAAAGTAATTTTTCAATTTCATAATAGATTAATTCTTTTCACTTAAAACAACAATTAATTGGAAAATGTAATGAAAAGTTTATAATTTAGGATGGCTTTTAATTCTAATCTATTGGTAATACAAAATATGTAATGGAAAAAAAAAAAAAG